TCACACTATCAGCAACAGCTGCCTCTCATTTTTATTTGTTTTTAAATTTGACTCAAAGTCCAATTCTCCATACACATCTGAAGCTGTAAATTCTAAGGCGACTGATTATATGATTTAGTAAACAGGTTATATTATATAATGCAATTAAAGAGGGGCCCTGCGACACCACCTACAGGTCGCTTCTGGGAAGGGCTTGGGACAAGGTTTGCTGGGGAAGGACAAGAAAGGGGATTTCACCTGGGTTGAGGTGACTGCCCCAGAGGGAGTTGAAGCCAGCCAGGTTACTAATGCAGCTTTCTGCCCCTCCTGCCGGTTCACTGTTATTTCAGCCTGCTGCAAGTTTGTCTAGACGTCAGAACCTCAGCTTGACCAGCTGTGCAGAGGGGATTGGGTGAGGGGCTGCCTGGGGGAGTCTGGGCTGGGCAGGGAGACCCCTCCCCACTTGCAAACAAGACAAGACAGGGGAGAAGAGAGCAGGCGACTGGCCCTTGGAAAGAAGCTACATCCAACTGTTGGCATTCAATTCAACAAGCATGTGTGGAGCACTAACAGTGGGCAAAGACTTTCCAAGTATGCTGGGGAAATCCTTTCATTTTGCAGCCCAGAAGGGAAAGTGACATGTACGAGCCCCAGATAAGTGGTAGATTCTACTGGCTGTGGAATCCAGCCTTTGGGACCCTAAACACAGGCTCACATCCTGGGGATTGAAAGCTGGAGTTCCTAGATGGGGAACTGAGACCCAGTCCAGTCATAGGGCTTCCACAGCCTCTACTTATATCAAGAGAAAGAAAATTGTGAAAATACCCTGTGTATGTGTGTTTCTCATAGGGTAGAGGAGAAGGGCTCCAAGAGGAAAGGAAAAAAGGAGACCTGGGACCACCCTCCCTACCCTCTTCCCAGAACCACAATATTCCTGGGACACATTGGGCTCTGAAGCCTCAAAGATTCCAGCTTTTCCAGAGGTTTTTTTGTTTTTGTTTTTGTTTAAAGAGTGGATAACATTGCAGAAAACCTGTCCCTGGAGACAGGAGACTTGCTTCCTAGGGTCTAGCAAAGAAACCAGAGGAGAAGGGGTGAAGGGAGAGTCCCTGAAGCAGGCATTGGGGTAGTGGAAAGCTGGGCCCTTCTCCTCTCCTACCCTAGCTCCGGATATAGTTTAGTCCCAGCTAGGGTTAGAGGCCAGGAACAAATGCTGTTGGGCCAGCTGTCCAGACAGTTCCCAATTAGACTTTGTTTCTCATCCTTAAGGCCCTGAGCCCCCAACCCCTGCACCTCGGCCCCAATTACTGCCGGGCAGCATTAACCCCTTGGTGCCCTAGGCTGTTAATGGAATGTTAATTGGTCTAATGGGTTTCATGTCAACAAGTCCTAATGAGCTCCTTCTAACGAGCTTGGCTTTTTTTTTTCCTAAGCCTGTTTGTCAACACTGGCGTTTGGGCTCCAGTCTGGGGCCCTCATGGAGCAGAGTGGGGGGAGCTGGACCTGAGGGGACCCGGGGGCAGGGGGGGAATGGCTGCCCCTGGACTCTACATGGCTATTTCCTAAGTGGTGTGCCCCTCATCCACCTCCAGACCCCCAAGGCCTCACCTGGATCCTGAGCTCTTTAAAATATCATTTTCAATCGCTTCTCAGCCTTTTGGCTAAGATCAAGTGTAAAATATCATTTTCAGCTTTTTTAAATGATAATATCAGTGACACAAATTATTTCCTCTTGGACATCATTGTGGAGTTGGATGTTGCATTAGTTTCTTTTTCTTTCTCACAATTCTCATGTAATAAACAACAAACTCTTAACATAAGTCTGTCATGGATGGAAGACTTCCTCACCATAAATGTACCTCCTGCGCCCTCCATTTCCAGCCTTGGCTTTGCTCCCATGAATGCCCTGGTGTCTGGTGACAGAAGCACAGGGCCCCTGGCCACTGCCACAGCCTCTTAGGGCCCCTGACAGAAGCTTAGAGATCAGGAGTGCCCTTCCTTCTCTGCTCCCAAAGAAAATGCACAAAGGGCAGGTCTCCCCAAAGGGCCGGACCTCCATTCCCAGGCCTCAGAGCTGAACCCAAGTCCCTAACAGGATCATCAGACCCCAGGATTCCTCTCTGAGTTCCCCAGGGAGGACTGAGCAGGATGGGGGTTCACCTGTGGGTGAAGGGTGTGAGGACACCCAGTGAGCTTCCAGGATAGGTACAGCTGATCTCCCCAGTGTCAAGTTGCCGGGAGCTTCCATGCCCCACTGAACAGAGAAAGAAATCTAAGCTGGAGTTGAAAAGGCCTCCTGTTCTCTCGAAGGAGAAGCCCTTGGGGGGCAGTAGGCCAGTGGCCTCTCGTAACCCTGGGGGGAGGGGCAGGGACCATCTATGTCTAGAAAATTGCTCTTGCCTCCTCTGCCAGGTGAGGCTGGGTCTGGTCCCATCACGTCCCAGCAGGCTGGGAACCAACATATGTCTCAGCCTCGTGGATGATTGTCTCTGGGACCAGACCACTCAGTGGTCCCTGCTTTCCTCAGACAGGGCAGCCCTGACCATGCCTAAGGGCAGCCTCTAAAGTAACCCTGCCTCCCATTCATTTGACAGTGAACAAAAGGATGTGGATTAAAGACTCCTCTGTTTAGTCCCAATCCTCCCCACTGTGTTTTCTTTGCTTTGCCTTCATTACGAATTTCTCATTTAGGGAATGAAGTTACCAAAAGAACCAAACCCAGGGTTCAAGGGAACCAGTTGCCCCAACAGTTGTTGGGAGGGGGGGCTCCTTCCTAAATGCAGCTCCAGCCCTAACTCTGCCCCCAGGCTCCCTCTTCTGGGAGCTTCCAGAACTGCAGCCCTTCATGTTTCCTAGCCAGTGAGGGTCTAGGATTGGTGCTGCCAGGAAGGAACCCAGAATCCTGACCCTTAGTCTCCATCCAAAGTTTTTTTATCTACTAGTCCTGGAAAGGCCGTGCCTAACACAATGCCGAAATATCCCTAGTCCCTCTGTTCTCTCAGGATCCAAAAGGGAGAGATTCCACACCTATTTTAATATCTCAAAAGCCTTAACTCTGCAAGTTTCTTCTAATGTCTCAAGAAATCTATATCTGGGCTGGGGGTGTAGCTCAGTGGTGGAACATTTGCCTTGCATGCTTAAGGAAACCCTGGGCACAGTCCCTGGTGCTGCAAAAAAAAAAAAAAATCTCTATCCTTTTCCTCCAGTATGGAAGCCCCTGCATGAAAATAAACCTTCAATTCCCCTACCTAAAGGGAGAGACTCCCCTCTCCCCTTGTGGTTCCCTGCTGAGCCCCTGTGCAAAAGGGAAAGTCAGTGCCCACAACTTATAAGATGGGTGAGATCTTACCTGCTTCTGTCACAGAATATCCTGCTGGTCCATCTCCTGAGGTCAGGCCAGCGTGGTGAGAGGCACAGACCAAGGCCAACAGGATTGCCCCACACAGGAAAAGCCACCACACACTGCAACATCTCCACCTTACTTTCTTCTTTCCTGCCAGATTATCACTTCCCTCTACCAACCACACTCTCTGGAGAGAAGACCTGGTTTCATTCATCCATCCTGCCTCAGTCCCTCAAACCATTCCTTGCACACAGCTGATATGAGATAAACATCTACTGAATGAAACATGAACTTCCACTGCTTTGTGTGTGCACTTAAGATCCAAGTGGGCCTAGTACTTTGGAGATTCAGGTCAGGCCAGGGTGGATATTTCCTCACCTCCCTGAAAAACCACCAAAAGAACAACACACACCACACACACCACACGCACACGCACAGCACCTGGAGATTTACCCTTTTATTTAGTGGCAGCTCTAAAACACCCTCAACCTCCCCAGAGTTGGGGTATATGGACCTTTTCAAAGTCCCTGGGGACGGTCAGGTTGATAGAGGCCCCAAGTACCCTCAGGGAGAGGAGAGGGAGTTCCGAGCACCAGCTCCCAACGGCTTCTAGATCATCAGCACCTCCCCACAGGAGACAGGTTCTCCAGAGGTTCTTAGGACTCTCCCACCTTGATGGACCGCGGTGTATCAGCAAGTAGCTGTGGTTTCTGATTCTAACTATGTCAAGGTGTCTGCTATAGCTCAGTAGCTCTCAGGGCATTCTATGTGAGGGTGGCTCACTTGCTGATTCTGGGGTGGGATGCAATGCAGTGGACCAGATGTGGAACACACACACACACACACACACACACACACACACACACACGCCACTCATGGCCTCTATCTTCTCAGTAAGAGGTGAGCCAACCACTTGGCTCTGACAGCTCTTCTGGCCCCACCTGCCTGTGGTTCTGTACTGAAGCCAGGTTAAAGGAAATGCTGGAGTCATAGCCTACATCTAAAAACCTGGAGGTGACTAGCATCCCCCTGCCTTTTGCCCTGCCTCTTTCCCTCTTTTCACCCCTCTTGGGCTGCAGTCTGAGGGCCCGGCATCCCACATCCCTTGGCACCACTAGGGGGTGTGATGAGCACACTCAGGGGGAAAGAGCCTGGTGCTTGCAGACCCTGGGGTGGGGAAGTTGGGCGCCTGAGGGCTTCTTGCTCCTTTGAGTGCTAGTGATCTCTCCGGACACCTGAGAAACGATGTGCCAAGGAACACTCTTGTTATGAGGGGTCAGGATGAGGCTCAGGGCTCTCTTAGGCTGGGCAAAGAAGGAGGGTATCCAAGTAGCCGCCAATCCTACCAGGCTGCCACGGCCTAGCCACCCTCCCCAGCTCCAGGCCCCCACACAGACCAAGCCAGAGCCATGCCAAACAAAGCCTCGCTGCAGGGGCACAGGTTGCTTTACATATGATTTGAATATTGTTTCTTTCAAGTCAAAATAACGCAGCAAGCCCCTCCCCACCAGGCCTCTCTCCTGAGCTCTCATTTGTTCCCCTGCAGGGCCTCCTGCCCTTGCTGTATCCTGTCAGTCCAGGTGGCCCAGGTTGAAAAAATGTGGAGCTGGTTGGTGCCAGGCCTCACCTGTGCTCACTCCGTGGCATTAACAGTGCGGCCCCTCTCTCCTCCCTGCAGATCCTCGATGTGAATCAATCCCATGATGCAACATGCCTCCCCAGCCCCAGCTCTGACAATGATGGCCACGCAGAATGTCCCTCCCCCACCCTACCAGGACAGCCCACAGGTGAGTGTGCCAGGGAAGAAGCTGGGAGGGAGTGTGGCAGCCTTGGGAATCCCATGGAGGGGGGCTGGGCTGTTCCAGGGCAATGGGCAGGGCCTATTCTGCAGGGAGTCCTATGAGCACAGACTCCTGAAGGGTCTCATTGCCTTCCATAAAACACCCTACTTGGGTTATTCTGTCACCAGGACCATAATGTGGAGTAGCGATCATAGACTTGCCCACCTGCCTCTACCCCACAGACCTCAGAAAGTGCATCTGAGCTCCTTTGTCATGGTCAGGGTAAAATCCCCACTTGAGACACAGGTACAAGGTGTGTCCATCTTTGAATATTTGGAAACTTCCTGCTCCTATTCACAGGCCTGGAAGAGTCTCTGTTCTTATTGGCACTCTGCAGGGCTTCTACCTAGAAAAGGCCAAGTTCTTTTTCTGCACACTCCAGCTCCTTCCCAGCTCCCATCCCTCAGCTCAGCCATCAAGTTCCTCTGAGATTCCTCCCTGGTTGCAAGTCCTGCAAAGGGCGCCAGCCCCTCCTGGGCATGGTCTTCTCACTGTGTCCTCTGCTCCTCCTGGAAGCTGCCTGGCTTTTCTGGGTGGGCTCCTGCAGTCCTGCCATCCTGGAGAGCAATCTCTTTTCATCTCTGCTTCTCCTGGGGCGCCTCACCCACCCTCCAATCTTCGAGAGCCTGAGTTGTGCAGCTTATCCTTTGTACAAGGCTCTGTTCTCTGACCTTTACCTTCATGTTCTCTTGTTCTCTCTACCCTGTTCTCTCGGGTCAATAGTAATTCAATAATTATTTATTGAGCACCTGCCATTGAAATGCGCCCACTAGATCACACACTCATTCATTTAACCCCTGTGTAGAAAGTGCCTACTGTGCATCAGGCTGCCCCTCTCTTCTCCAGCAGCTTTTCTCTGCCTTTCTGCTGAGCTCGTTACCATTTCAAATGCAGCCCTTGTGGAAGATCTGTGCAGCATGAAGAGGGTGTTAAAATCCAGGCAAATGGGGGGGACTTTTGCCAGATGACACCCTGTGGCCCAGGTGCTCCCAGCCCAGTGTGAGCATAAGAGTAGCTGCTCCATCTATCCTTCACATCCTCCTGCTCCCATAAAATTACCAGTTGATGTGGGGCCATGCTGTGGAGTGACCACCTTGACTTCTCTCCCCCTGAAGGTACAAGGGCACCGGCCATCCTGCGCATATCCTCGAATTCCCAGCCTTGCTCCACATAGCAACTTCATGCTCTTTCCCCAGATGAGTCTCATATTCAGCAAACCCTCTGCCCACATCAGCACCTTCCCACCAGTGACTGCAGGGCTGGACTTGGCCTTTATACCAGCTCTTCTATTTGGATGCTTTTAGACATCTGACTCTCATCCTGGACCCTTCCATCTATGTCTCAGATCCAGGAGTTGAAGTTCAGAAGGAGCCCTCAACTGGTGGAAATGAAAAAATGACAAAGAGGAGAGGAAACTCTGGGGACAAAAACCCAGCCCTCTCCATAGATGCAGACCCATATCCCTATCTGCTCAGCCAGTTAGGAACTGGCTCCCCTGGCATATTAAGAGGCAGGAACTTTGGCTTCATTTCTCTTGTAACTGGATATGGCTTTCCAAACTACAGTGGTAATGGGGAACAGAGTGGGGATGCTTCCTCTGTGCAGCAGGTGGTGAGTGTGAAACTAAGGTTCAAGGACATATGAGGGCAAGCTGAGAGGTCAGGGAGCTCTGGCTGGGCACAGCTGCAAGCCGCTGCTTCCTCCCTCCCTTCCGTCTCTGCTTTGCCTGCCTGGGCAGCTGGGAGAAGTTTTGGCTCCATGGGATTAGCAGGAGAGCTGCAGCAAGGGACTGTGTCCTCCAAGAATGCTGATCCAGGAGCCTAATTTAATTCTCAGCGTACAGGCTGGATGAATAAATCCCAGCTGCCAAGGGAGAGGATGAGGTGGGGCTGCAGCCTTACGGGGCTCAGCCCCCCACCCCAGCCACTGCTGAGCTGCTCTGCCCTTTGGGGCAGGGAGGGAGCTTAAGCAGAAGCCAGATTCGGGCACTATCCTGAGACTCCTCTGTGAGATCTGCCAGGCCTTCACTATTGAGAGTATTCTCATTTATAGCAGAGGGATAATTTGCCCTTGGGAAGCTGTGTATCTGCTTGTAACCCTAGAGATCAGGAATGAAGTGTCTGCCAGGAAGTGACCAGTCCAAGGTCTTGAGGTCCTCATGGCCTTGGCTAAAGTACTAGGCTGTGACTAAATTGCCACTGGCCCTTCCTGGGCCAGGCCAACTCCCAAGGAAGGGGATCAGGATGAGGAGCTGCTTCGAGAGAGGAGTTAGAGCAGGGGTAGAGAGGGTGAGAGAGAGAAAGGAGTGAGGTCCCAGAGCAGGCTTCTGACTCAGGCACACAAGTTGTCGGAGCAGGAGCGGGAAAGGCTCTTTTCTCCGGGGAGTAAGACCTTTGAGACCACCTGGCTCTGAGTCTCTCTCCTATTCTTTCAGGCCAAGAGTGGCTCCCTCTTGGCAATGACTCTCCATGTGCACTTGGTCACTGACCTTCGATATAGGAAAACTTGGGAACCTGCTCTGGTCCTCCTTCCTTCTTCCCTGTCCCCTTTCAAGAGCTGACCCCAGCTCCTCAGGGGAAAGCTCTGCTCCATTTCCCTCCTAATGCCATTATGCTAAGGAACCAGCTGCTCTTGGACACTCAGTTTTTTTCAGGAAAGCACAGACTAATAGGAACATGGGTCAGGGACACAGGGAATCGCATCCTAAATGGGCCCTCTGGAAACAAGATCCACTTCCTCTTCACACCTTCAGGTCTAATCTCACGACCTCTGGCCCCTGCATGACTTGTTTCCTCAAGGCCTGCACAGCTGAGCACATCTGTGTATCACCTCCTCAGAAAACCAGTTTCTTCCACTTATGAGACATGGACAGTCTCTGATATGAAGTCCCCAAAATGAAAAAGGAAGAGAGAAGCAGAGCCCTTCCTTTGAGACCCATGCAATTGTTTTAATAATGTTCCCGTTGTGCTAAGGGCTAGCAATACTGAGCATAATCTATTCAAATGCACAGGAGAGTGTCACTTTGGAAAATTAGGAATCTGCATTAAAAAAAATTCCCAAGCCCCAGACTTTCTTCATAATAAATTAGAATTTTTTTCAAGGCAAGTTCTTAACTTGGCAATTTCATTTTTGAAGTTTGGGGAATAAAGTTATTAAAAATGAGGGAGACTTTTTTTCTTCCCATTTTAGTAGAGAAGCATTAATGGTTATGGCCCCATGCTATTTGGGCATAAGCCAAGTGGCATGATGGCTAATGGCTTCTACCCCTCAGTTCTGTTTCCATCCATCCAAGGGAACCTCTGTGGTTATTCATAAGGGCACCACTCTGTGTTTATTGTGCAATGAAGACCAGTTGTGCACTTAGAAAGTGCAAAAGCAACAACCCACTGGGACCCTTCCTGTAGACTACTTCCTCCTTCTGGTGGCTTCCTGTCAAATTCTGATAAGGTAGCAGCACCCTCTACTGTCTAACTAAAACACCTCAATTCCAGCACACTGGAGCTGAGTCCTCAAAGCCAACCCTCACTTGGACCCCTAAACAAGTAGGAGTGAGTCACCAAAAATCATGCAATTCCACAAGGACTGTTTAATGAAAACATTGTCTCCAGAGAGACCTGGAGATGAGCTGGGTGCATATTACTCTCATTTCAATGCACTGTGTTAATTTTTATATCACTTCCTTTCTGTCCTGCAGCTCTACCTCAGTGGGCCTGGCCCTCACTATCACCTGAACTTTCACAACCTCTCCTCCACTGCCCTAGCACTCCACGAACTCCAGTGGGACCCTCGAAGTTGCTCCCCTCTCTTATTCATGCTTAGAATTGCAGCAAATGTCATTCTGGCCTCCCTCCTAGAATTTTCTCAGTAACAACCACCTTCTCACTCCTAGGCATCTACCCTTCCATCATGTTCTCTCTCTCCACCTTGGAGATGCCATTCAGATCCTCCCACTCCTCATAATACTTGGTATGCAACAGTATCCACCAAGCGAAGTTCTCCCTTCTGTAGCCCCGGCAACTCCAGGAAACCATTGGGATTTACTATCAAAGACAACAGCTCCTTCACCTCTTACCCACATGAAACAGACTCTGGCTATCAGCACCCATACCCCACTCTTCCTCAAAACACACACACTTACCAGTGGTACTGTGAATATCTTTGTTCTCAGTTTATAGGCAAGGCACACATTTTATCTGGTCTATTGTGTATGTATTCAGTGTTTAGAGTTCTGTCTTCGTGTCCCCAGCCAGTTAGGCTACAGGAGAAAACAGAACTTCTAGTGGATCCTGGTCTGACTCATAGGCACAGTCCCTGTGGATGTGAGCACCCAGTGGATAGCTGCTTATGTAGAGTGACTTGAAACAGCGGAGTCCAAAGAGCTTTGGCAGTTCACTAAGGATAAGCTTCTTTACTGACCAGAGGGGAGAAAGGTCAGAACTCGAGATTCGGGCCAGTATGGGATGTTCATTTCAGAAGGAAGTCAAGCATTTTCTGGAGTCTCTTTGGCAAAAAGCCCCATTCCCATACTGCTACTTCCTCCAGCAACCCTCAGAGTGAGGAGAATGGTGTCCAAAACCCCAGGAGAGTCACATTTGCACATGAGAGTGCAGGTTATGTGATGTGTCACACCTACTCTGCCAGGGGAAGGCCAAGGCTGGGTCTGGGTCCCTCTTGCCCTTCCAAGTACATCTTTGCCATCCCTATCTGAGCATGCCTGTCACTCCAGGAGGGCTGGGGTGCCTTCCTGGGGAAGCTAGCTGGGCTTTGATCAGTCATTAGGATCCCCATGCTGGTTTCATTAACTGGAGGCAGAGGGGCTGGCTGGGGCCCCTGGCTGTGAATGGCCTCCATCCAGGCCATGCAGCTGTGAGGGTTCAGATGTTTTCACACTCCGTTTATATTCCTCTCATCTCTTTAAGGTCCGGAGCCCCCTGCCTTGCAGGGCC